TCTCTCCGGGCTCTCAACATCCCAACCTTACCGGTCTGTCCGGTTTTGCAATTCTGAGTCGACCTTTCTCAGCGACGGTTCACCGGTAGTTGAAATGGTTAGGTACCAATCAGACGTTCGAGGTGTAGGTGAACATCGTGGGTAGATGCGTAAATGGTGGGGCCAGCATAGTCCTGTCTCGACACAGGCAGCTCCCCAAACTTAGGTCGTCTCTCTGCCCAGCTCCAATTTATCAATTAAAGGGACTATCCCACCTTTAACATGGGGTTTGAGTTGAGATAGCCAAGTTTGCGGCGAGGTTCAGAAACCACTATCTATCTAGGTTGCAACCCCCGCGGCCTCTTGGTGTTGAAGAAATTCGTTCCCTTCATTTGAAAATGGGCCTTGTACAAGGCCCTATCTTCAACATGGAGCGACCGTTAGTGTGACGTCAACTCGTTTAGTCATTCTGATTTAAATGGGTTTGTTCGTTGAAAAATCGCTTAAAACTTGGTCTGAACTTTGTTGTGGTGCCTACAGAGTAAAAAGAATCAGCTTTATCACAGTAATGTGGCCTGGGGAAGGAGGTAATTTTGGGCTGTGACGTCACATATTTGAAAGTTTGTGTTTGGAATATGGGAAGCCTAAGATGTTTAATGAAAAATAAATGCCAGAACCGTGTTCCTGGTAATCCAATCTATAAATTCGGGCACAATTTAACCCTCGCCGGACCTATTGGTTTTCTACATACGCGCCGGCCGAGGGGGGGGGGGGGCGGGTACGACCCCCCCTCGCCGTTTCGCCCCTGGTGGAGCTAGCGCGTCGCGGAAAAAACGAGCGTGTGCGCCGTTACGAGACGCAGAGATTGGTACCCGATTTTAAGGTCCTAGGTCAACCGGTGACCTCTGAGGTCAGGTCAAGTGCCCCAGGGTACGGTTCAGTTTTTGGTGAATAACTTCGCAAAAAACGGCCGCAGAGCCGCGATTTTGGCAGCATCGTGTTCGCCTCGCTCAGGCGCGTCGAACGATATACTTTTTGTTCGGGTCAGGTCAACTTGGGGTGTTGACCTCAGGTCAAGGTCAGGTCAGCACCCCCAGGTCACGAAGTTGGTCGGAAGAGGTCATGTCGCATATCATTCGATTCGGCAGGTCTTCCTGAGTCCATTGGTGGCTTTCTCGACTCGCTACCTCAATTTGATCGGGAGTTTTTGACGAAAAACTAATATGACCTTGATGACGTCATAAATGACGTCATGGAAGGTCAACATTGCAAAAGTGACGCATCTAACCTTGCAAGGAGTGCATCAAATCACGATTCTGTGTGCTTGAGATAGTTGGAGATCGTTCCCGGCGCCAGAATAGCAGTTTTCATTTTTCCCCATTGACTTATAATGGTGAGGTCACGAAAATGACCTGACCTCATATGACCTTTAGGAAAAATCCGAGATATACAAGTTGTGAGACTCCTAATGGATACTAGATCCTGCAAGTTTCATTTCCCTGTGACATCTCCTCTGGCAGTGAGGGCGTTGCGAAGTTGCGACATCTGAAGACCGTGCAGAGGTTCACTTATGACGTCATAGGTCAGTGACCTGACCTGACCCAAAAATGCGGTTGGTGTCAAAAGATGCGGCTTGGATCAAAGGTCAGGTATGTCAAGTTTCAGCTCTCTATCTCCAGCGTGTTCGGAGCTATCGCGAAAAAAACCCTTTGGGGGGGGGGGCGGCACCCGCCCCCCCTCGGCCGGCGAGGGTTAACTGGGTTTAACAACATTTTAGAAGGTGGGATAGTCCCTTTAACCCGCGCCCCGTGGGGCTACCGGCGGACCCTACCACCCGTAGGGGGGGGGGGGGGCGTTTCCCCCAAGATAAATTTACCGGCTGATTTTCAAAATTCAAACGGTGTTCGATAGCCTCACCCGGAACCTACCTTGTGACCAAAGTTCATTGACCTAGGTCAAACCGATGGCGTCACAGGTCAGGTCAATGGTCGGATTTTCACCGTTCACAGGTATTTCAAGAAATGTGTTGTGAAATGGAGTAAATTGGTAAGTTATTGAAAACCGTCGATGGTACATTGTTCGTCAAACACATACTTCGCTATCTGAGGTCACTGATACCAGGTCAGGTCACAGAGGTCAGGTCACTGGGGGGTCACAATATGAAAGTGTCGTGTGATACATGTTTTATGGTCCATTTTACATGACAAATGCGATTATGTGGGTCAGGCAGCCTTTGGGGCCAGCTAAGGTCACGTTTTGGTGAAGGTCAGGTCAAGGTCAGATCATATTAGGTCAAATTTCAAAGTTAATATTTTTGCATACAATAGGTTTCGATTCGATGCAGCTCGTCACGGGGAGTCCCATGGTGGTCTTGGTTTTGACCTACATGGTCTAGAATTGCCAAAAATTGAGTTTGAAAATTTGATGTCATCATTTTTGAACAGTTTTTTCGCTATAACTTGGCCAAACATCGAGATATCGATCTGAAATTTGGTATGTAGATAGAAGACGGTAGGTACTATCACATATATTCCAGTTTTTACGAAACTCAAAAAACTTTTTTGGATTTGTTGGCTAATATATCCAAAAAATGCATTTTTAATTTTTGGGGGTGAAAACTCAAAAATTTCAAAAATCCGAGATAATAGTTTTGTAGTTCTGTCAATTCTACACCTTTTATATATTGATCATTTTTTTGTTTCTTCAAAGCTGTAGGCCTAACAGCTCTTCTCGCGAAGGTCTTTTTTCGGTCGAAAATGGCAGAACATGACGTCATTCTGACGTCATTTGTGGCCAACCCATCATAGCCTCTGGAAAGTTTTTGGTCATAATGTGTAAAATTGATGCCCGGAGGGGTCCTAAAAGTTTGGTGGCGATATCTTCAGCCGTTTAGGAGATATCGACGGAAAAGTACAGGGGGGGGGGCGTTTCGGGCTTTCGGCCCCCTACGAGGCGCGGGTTAAGGAATCTAGAAAGACATAATCAACACGAGTGGTCAGGATATTTGTATTCCTTCAGTGCGAACCCATGTATTGCGAGTGCCGAGTAGGCATGTAGGTGATCAGTGCTCCTAATTTTCAAAATGAAGTGTGTCTACTGCTCCCGTTTTCGTTTCCACTGTATTCCATGTTTCCATTCCACTGTGCATTTCAATAGAACCCCGGCTACGCTGTGTGCCGAGGCCAAATGCATAGTGGGCTTATCTGGGCTATACTGGGCATACTGGGCTTATCTATATTAATCAGTGATCACAGCTGTTATTGCCGTTTCGGACTGGTGATCATCACCCCACACAGGCAACTGAGGAGAAATGTTCCACTAAGGCTGCGTGTATCTTCCTAACGGATGGCCAGAATCACTCTCATCCTTTCCTGAGCTGCAGCACATCAATAAGTAGGTCGAATGACCTGTTCTTTTTTTTTAATTTCCACTGGCCATGGCCCTGAAGTGTTCTTAACTCGATACAACCAGTATAACGCCTTTTGCGGCGACTAACGGAGCGAGCGAGAGGGTGGGCCTTGCACGTGCGAAATTGCGAGGGGGTACCTCCAACTAACTTGTGCACGGCACCCTACTAACTGGTCTCTAGCGATGTGCCAAATTTGGGCACAATCGGCCCAGCCGTTCTCGAGATCTGGAAGCGGCACCCTGCACGTGCGCACGTGCAAAATGGGTCCCAACTGACTTGTGCACGGCACCCTACTAACCGGTCCCTAACCGTGTACCAAATTTGAGCGCAATCGGTCCAGCCGTTCCCGAGATCTGGAAACGACCCCTGCACGTGCGCACGTGCAGCAGCACCCCAACTCTGGCACATGTATATGCAGTGCCTAGTGGGTGCCTACCTACATGCCAACTTTCAGCGCAATCGGCCAAGTACGATAGGTGTTATCACAAGTGTATTCGCGGCCATTGGGGCGACGTAAGAAAAGAAGAAAACAACTGGCCCCAAGAACTTTAAATTATCAGTTAGCATGCACCTTTTCCTTGATGTGTAGAGAATTTACCATTAATTGTTAGAGAAAATTGCGTTTAAAATCTTCCATTTATGCTTTTATCATCGTTTGCACAATATGTTCTTTTACTAAGCTAGAAACACTAATTAGAAATAGTTCCCGCATCATCAAGAACAATAGAGAAGGCTTAAAGTTAATACAATAATCTAAACGGTTTTGTAATCAATGTGAAGACACTTCTAAAATTGCCTGTAGAAATATTGAAGGCAAAAGTTCAACTTTTTCACAAGACTGATGTCTATAAACCTATTCAACGTGTGACAACTCAGCCGGTATTTCGTCGCCTACAGCCCAGCTTTCCCTAGTGACCGATAGAGGCGCTGCTATCGATGTCCGCCCGTGCCGCCTAACGAGTTACCGAGATATTGCAACAATTACAAAACTGACACCTCTTCGTTTTGCACGTGGCACGTGCATAAGGGGTCACCCACATGCATCGGGAATAGTCCAATACTTGGTAGAAGGAATGAAGCTACCCTACAAAAATTACCGCGTGTAAATCGGTCAAGTGGTTGCTGAGATATAAGCCTCGCAAAAGCGTGACCACGGCCGGCCGGCCGGCCGGCCGCTCATACTCAGAAATTTCCGTTAATCTAAGGAAAGACTACGCTCGCTTCGCTCGCTCCGTAATCAAAAAGAGATTTAAATGCAAAATAAAAGCGCATAAAAACGAACAAACAAAGAAACAGGGAAACAGTCAGAGAAACACCACATGCTCCTTTTTTTCACTCTAATTGCGCTGATTGCTCGGGGCCTGTTCCCTGTGCACAAAGTTCTAACCGGTGTTATTCTATCTTTTCAGTTGAGCTGAGCTCCATCGTGCTCCACATTGCACCTTCACTGTGTTCCGTGTTTCAGAAGGGTGTGTTCTGTGTTTCAGAAGGGTGTGCTTCGTGTTTCAGAAGAATGTGCTCCATATTTCAGAAGGGTGTGTTCCTGTTTCAGAAGGGTCCGTGTTTCAGAAGAGTGTGTTCTTGTTTCAGAATGGTGTGCTCCATGTTTCAGAAGGGTGTGCTCCGTGTTTCAGAAGGGCGTTCTGTTCGTGCTCACTCGCCGGGCTCTAGCCGGACTTGTGCTGCTGGCCACCGCTCTTCTTTTCGTCTCACTTCTTCAAGAGGACTCTGATAACAACGCGTAAGAAAATAACTGGAAGAAACCGATTAAAACAGGATAAAAGACAAGCGGTTGTCGGCGTCGCTAGTTCATTACAGTTTTGGACTAAATTGGCACACGGCGCAGCACGTTTTGAAGGAATCTATTTACAGAGGACTTAACAACATAAGCTCGATGGGTGATAGGGAAACTTATTTGGTGATTCACTCGATATCTTTGGCATGGGTACATGATGCAAGCCTATCCCAAAATGAGTTTTTAGATATTTATGTGCCTGTTATTTTGTTATTTTCCTTGCAAAGAAGAAGACTGGACAATTTGTAATGGAAAAAGTTCGACTGAAATTTTACATCAGCGCATAAGGAGACAATGCCAGATAAATTTTCGGAAATTGAAGAACTTTTGTTTATATATAAAGTATGCTGTCCGCAGCACCAAAAACCGCCTTCCTGAATCCGCCAGCGTCTTTATGACCCGTGCTCCTTATCGTGTACCGCGTTGATGCATCATCAGAAGACCGAGGTTCTCATCTCACCCCCGTGCCCGTGTCTGCTCACAGGGTGTGGCGACTGTCCCATCTGGCATCGTTCTCACCATCAGCCACTCACCTACCGGACCTGAGCTCACCGCTGGCCTATGACGACCTCCCGGCTCGACTAGGCAGCGGGGGTCACTGCAAGCCACGGCGCTCTATTTTCTTCCTGAAGACGCACAAGTGCGGCAGCTCAACCGTGCAGAACATTCTGCTGAGACATGGCGAGCGACACGCGCTGGATTTTGTGCTACCCGGCCAGGGAAATTACATCGGATCACCGGTAAGAGGAGACCGTTTTGTCCGTGCTGCCTGAAGCCCGTTTTGTCCGTGTTACCTGAAGCCCGTTTTGTCCGTGCTGCCTGAAGCCCGTTTTGTCCGTGTTGTCTGAAGCCCGTTTTGTCCGTGTTGCCTGAAGCCCGTTTTGTCCGTGTTGCCTGAAGCCCGTTTTGTCCGTGTTACCTGAAGCCCGTTTTGTCCGTGTTGTCTGAAGCCCGTTTTGTCCGTGTTGTCTGAAGCCCGTTTTGTCCGTGTTGCCTGAAGCCCGTTTTGTTGGCTACGATGTGCTGTCGGCAAGATCTCATGATTTTATATGTTCTTTGCTCACTGTGGAGACGCCGACTAGGCGTGCATGTTCGGCATCCCATCCGGAAAATAATGGATCAATTTCCGGGATCATCGGTAATTATTCGGTATTGCTGAATATCTGAGTAATGTTAGCTGAGATTAGTCACGCTTTTAAATAGTTATTGTTTCAATAATGGTTCTGTTACTCGTCATGTCCGTCATGCAAGGTGTCAGCCTACTAAGCCCAATGATCCCGCTGATCCCGGGAATTTATCCCTCATTTTCCAGATGCCGAATGCACGCTTTTGTCACATGTCCTGCTGTTTTTTATCACAGCAGAAGTTTTGCTCCACACGAGTGCGTTTTTATGCGGTGCGGTTGCAGTGCAACTGCCGCCTGCCGCAGCTGCCGCTTGCCCACCATGCGGCTATCGTGCGGCATCTTGCGGTTACCGAGCGGCATCATGCGGCTCGGTGCAGTTTCGTGCCATGAGTCGCAGATGACAGGAAAATGAGGTGTAAATGCCACCAAATACGCAAAATTAAACTAATGATGCTTTTAAATCTTCTGTCCTGGGTAGATTGATTCTAGCCAAACCCAAATGGCGAAAGTTACCTGCCATTGCAGGTGAAATATGCCAATATGTGAGATGCTGTCCACGGTGCCGTGCGTTGCGCTGCGGAAAGTAGAACTGATTCATACTTTCCGCAGCTCGCCGCAAACTGTCAGCCCACTGTGTCCACACTCACTTCCGTCACATCTGTAGCCCGCCAACAATATTTGACCCATCCTTCCCGCTGGTGGGTAGTAGGTACACACGGGCGATTCATTTTCATGCATCATGGTTGGGGTGCTACTGCACGTGCGCACGTGCAGGGTGCTAGTTCTAAATCTCCAGAACAGCTGGGCCCATTACCCTCACATTAGGTATATTGCTATACAGGGCCGGTTAGTAGGGTGTTGTTCAGTGCCATCGCTAGACAGACCGACTCGCGGTGTTTTTTTTTCTTTGTAGGGTAGCTTTGTCCCGTCTGCCAAACATCGGACTACTCTCGAATCTCGATGCATATGGGTGACCCCCAATGAATGTGCCATGTGCGTCAGGTCAGGCTTGCGGCATTCGCACCCGCGCCGCATCCCGCCGCTCCTCACCGTAATACAACGTGCCGCGTCACAACATGAAGCGCCGCATCATGCGCACCGCAACTGCACCGCATCAAAAACGCACTCGTGCAGGGTGGGCCTAAAACGTTCGTATAGCTTATCGTACCGGATAAGATCTTTATGTGAGAGAGGGAGGAAGGGATGCGGGCAATTGAGCCTTGCCCACCGTAGTTAGTACACAAAAAGTGAAAAAGTGCGACAACACACCACAACCTTTAATCGCCCTGATAGTATCGGTCTGTTGGTTCCTGTCATCAGATAAGTTACCCCATGCCATGTGCCAAATATATGTGGATTAGATATGATCTAAATCCCGTCTCAGTTGGATAGTTTTATTCCTCATGTGCTATCGCATGCTTGACGAAGCGGGGGTGCCACGTGATAGCTCTAGTGTCGCAACGGGTGCTTATTCGCTCTGACTGACAAGACAAACTGAAAAGTGAGCATGATGATATGGGCGCGGACTGTTTGTATTTCCCAAACCACCCAGTGTAGCCACTTGCTTTACGTTCAGCTTAGCTTAGCTCAGATAAGGCGGAAACAGCCGCATGCAACGTCTCATACCAGATAAGGTTGTCACTTTCACAGGGAAGCATTAGACCATACATATAGGTAGGGTGCGAGACAGTGTATATTATTATGTTTTTACATAGGTATGTTTGTGTTTCCATTATGTTATGTGTCTCAGTCCGCGTCCGTGTCGTAAATGTGGGTTCCTTCCTGTTTGTAAATCTTAACGGTTAGTACTCTGGCTACGTGTAAACGTATTGAGCTGTGATAATTGACCCGGAATATGCTGGGATGCCACAATTACAATCAAATTCGAGAACGAATCTTCAGTCTCTTGCTGCTCTCATAGATGACGTTTGCTATTCAACATCCGCTTTTTTTTATAAATTTAGTTCGAATGTTTGAATGGACGGATTGACAGAGCCGGAGCCCACGCTAAGCAGAGCTTGTTGCGTAGACCCCGACCCCACCGTCCGATCGCGCATTTCCTGGTATCGGGAGAATTTAGATGCCAAAATTTAACGTGCCCTTTAAAGCCAGACACGGCCTGTCCCACTCAACTGACTTCAACTGGCTGCGGCTGCTCCCACCAACCGCAGACCATCCCCGTCAGGAGTCTCAAATATCGAGCGCCGGATCGTCTCGAACCCGGGCTCTCACTACTGGGAATAATGCTCTACCAACTGAGCTACGGGACAGGCTCGTAAACCGTAGGACGCTTTACGAGCATGTTTACGGTTCCCTATCTCCATGAGGGATATCATCTTCTTCGAACAAATTTCATTAGCATTTCTCTACCTCTGCTATTGCAATTACACATGCGCACCAGCTCTCACCCCTGTGATTATGTGCTTGTGCACCAATCCTCACCCACCCTCCCCGTGTTTTCCAGGAGCCGTTCCAGGCGCGGTGGATCCCGCAGAGCCTCCGTCCTCGCTCCGGCTATTACCACATTTTTACCCACCATACACGACTCAACGTACCCGAGACGCAGCGAGTTATGGACCCGGACGCCGCCTGGGTGACGATTCTACGCGACCCGGTCACTCAATTCGAGTCGGCCTACGACTACAGCGGCTTCCAGCGCTTCTGGAACAAGACACTAGAGGAGTTCATCGCCCTGCCTCTGAGCCAGAAACGCTCGCTGCCCCGGGCTGGAAGGCAAGTGGCGCACATCACGAATGAATCAGATATCGCCGCCGCGCCGCGGGCCAAAGCCGTGTTGACTGTTGATGGTAGATGAGTACGGAGGAAAGTAATGTTCGGTTAGCCAGTCCCAGCATGGACCGAATGGCTTTCCGCCTGAGGCCGAGTTCAATAACCGCCGAGTGCTGCGGCCTCGCCTCATTGTTTTTGGCTATGAGGCTGCATTGGAAATTGAAGTATGCAAGGAAGTAGCACACCGTAACTATTGCTCTAAGTAGGTCTGAGGACCAACGAGCCCCAAATCGGTGAGAGCACGGCACGACTATGGGCTCTTTCCTACTTCCTAGTATCATAGTTGATCGCGCCTAAACGAGCGCGGCAATCAGGATATTTATGCTCTCGTGCTGGGGTATTTCTCATTGGTGGAAGTGCGCTCCAAAAGCGCCACACCATGCGGGCTTGTCTAGAGTCATGAACCTCAGTCTACGAATCATTATCTACTTACTGTAGGTACCGGTTGTAATCGAACACAGATACCTTTCTTGTGATCCGCTTTCTGGGATTTTTTTTCTCCCTCAACTATATATCTTTGGTGTTTGCCGCTCTGAATGGTATTTTCCCCGACTCTTCGCCGTCCGACTAACGAGACTTATAATGAATGCTGCCTATCAGGTCAGAAATCCCGACAGTACGCGGGGACCTGAAACTTTCTCTCTGTTACTCTCTCTCTCTCTCTCTCTCTCTCTCTCTCTCTCTCTCTCTCTCTCTCTCTCTCTCTCTCTCTCTCTCTCTCTCTCTCTCCGCCCTCCCTCCCTCCTCATGCACCAGGCCTAACTATTGGCGTGCACGCTACAACTACTGTATGGATACGTCTCACGCTAATTCTATATGTGCTTTGTCCGCCAGGCGCCTTGGACCCAACCAGATGGCCTTTGACCTTGGCTACGACCCTGCCATTGCCGCTGAACCCCGGTTGGTGAAGGCCATGCTGAAAGACGTCGAGAACGCCTTCGACTTAGTCATGATCACCGAACTGATGGATGAGTCTCTGGTACTGCTGCGTCGCCTCATGTGCTGGTCTACCGATGACGTGGTGTCCCTACCCAAGAACGCAAGATTTGAGTCGAGGCGCACTCAGCTGAGTGCCGAACAGCGCGCGGCACTCGAGGAGTTCCTCTCGCTGGATGTCACTCTTTACCAGCACTTCCGACGTCGGCTAGCCGATCAGATAGCTGCCATACCCCTAGAGGCGTTCATGGCGCAGGCGGAGACACTAGTATCGCGGCGTCTGTTTTGGCGCCACCGTTGTGTACTCGGCACGGTAAGCGGTAAGGATTTGAAGGGTGAACAACATGAGATTACTGGTATCGTGCAGGGCTATCGACTCAGTGATTCTAGCGATTGGATGTGCTCTCGACTGGGCATGGCGGAGCTCGGCTATACAGACTTGGTGCGAGACGCTCAGCGTCAGCGACTAGCCGTGTGGGGGCGTGTCAATGACCTACTTCAGGTCAATGACGTCACAGAAACGCCGGCCAATCAGCGATAGGAGCGCACGGTCCCGAGCGACAGTGTAACAGGTGGTGATTGCGAAACGTTGATACAGTCTATTTGAGTTGTTGTTGGGCGCTTGTTGATGGGTAAATCAACCGAAACATTATTAGACTCTCTGGCCAGTGAGTGAGTGAGTGAGTGAATGAGTGATTGATCGATTGATTGATTGATTAATTGATTGATTGATTGATTGATTTAGCGAGTGAGTAAATGAATGAATGAATGAATGAATGAATGAATGAATGAATGAATTGATATGTCAGCGACTGAGTGAACGAGTTGGAGGGTGGATTGGTAAATGAGTGAGTGAGTGAGTGAGTGAGTGAGTGAGTGAGTGAGTGAGTGAGTGAGTGAGTAAGCTAGTGAGTGAGTGAGTGAGCGGTTGTTGTGCTGGTCGGATTAGAAATGGTCAGTCTGACGGCCAGAGACAAAGCTACCAATTACTCAATCGCTGAATGATGTGCAAAGTGCAATGAGGGCACTGTTAGAAATAGCCAGGCTGAAGTGAGTGGTGAGGCCTCGCCGCGCACTCAAGATAGTTATAACTTGCGCTGAAAAACTTAGGGGTCTCCCACTGGCTGGGCAAAAGGCAAGCGTCGTCTGTGTGCTTCTGTATATTTCTATTTGTTTTATTTATAATTTGTTGTTTGTTTGTTTTTGTTTGTTTAATTGTTTGTTTGTTTTTAATTTGTGCAAAGCTACAAATCTGTGTTATGTTTATCTAAGTGTGGCTGTGAATGTATGGAATTTGCGACCGAAACACAAACGAGTTGGAACCAGGGGGGAGCACTCGCCTTGGCCGTATATGGGCCAGAATGTCTAACGATTTCGGCCATGTTGTGTATACCAAAGTCTTGAAAAGTTGATCGCTGCAATCAAACTGCAAGCATGAAGCAGCAGCACTTTTGAGAAGTGTACCTCTCACTGAACTGCACCTCTGCTACCGTAATGCAATTTATATTTCTGGTATACACAACATGGCGGAAATCGATAGACAAAAACAAGCCACCAATGGTCCTTCCAGTATATATTAGAGTTCAGTTCATACTGAACTAAAATTCATTTTAGTTCAGTGGTTGGAACCAAAATGAATTTGAAGAGGGTATAACTGCATATGCTGTTAAGTGGGACTTTAAAGTCATTTTATCTTATATATATTCAGCATATGCATATGCTGTTGTTTTTACCCGTCTAGCAGCTCATCGATCCGATGCTCTTCGTTTTCTATGTTCACGAAAACATTGACGGAAGGAGCCAAAAATGTCATGCGAAGTTGGAGTTTTGTCTTATTTCGCCGGAAAACTGCGTGACTGCGACGAATATACGCGTTTGCGATATATTTGTATTGTATTTGTGTAATGTTCGCCAATATGTAATTCGTCAGTTGGGATACTGTACCCTTATGATATCTATGTCGTCTCTTTTCATGCTTTACTGCATTGGTTATAGACATTATGCATCAATATGCACGAAACGCTGTTTCAGGAAAACGAGTGGTAAGTAGTGAACAGTAACGGAACGTGCAACTATGTACATGAAGTAATGTCATGGTACTGTCTAGTAATTACCCCTGTAAACAAATGACATCGTGCAAAAGCGGTACTCACAGCGAACGCCGGTTTAAAACGGTGATTACTGCGAATGCCGTGCGAAAAAGGCACACACTGTGTAACGGTAAACGTTTCAAGAGCTACAAATGGATGCATTATGGCTTCTGGCGCTCGTAGACCGGATAATGCTGTAACCGGTCGGAAAACCCGTGTTCACTCACACATGGTACGTAACACGATATATACGATGTGCAGTAATTGATTTTCCAATGAGCCGTTTGTCTTGGTTCCTTGGTCTGTGAACTGAATGATTGATATCTGGCTTATCTGCATTCAGTACGCATCTGCTAATGATTAGAAACGAAGTGGATAAACGCAAACTAAAAATAAATGATGCCAAATTTCTAAACGAAAATATAGCAAACATGAACATCATATTTGGCACTTATTTTGCTGTGAATAGTGAAGTAAATGATATGCATTTATCCGACACAAACACGGGTAAACAAATTGTTTTAATGGGCAATAAGTTCCGTTTGGTTTCGATTGTAACGCATTTCGTGAGTACCGGAAACATCGCCTATCATCACTGACCACTTTCAGAGAATATGAATGAGATGAGCACGACTAAGAAATGGGGTGTGTCGTAATCAACCTTTTCTTTCAAATCGCGGTGGTCCTATGATTTTATTTTGCTTCTGCACGATAGAAGGCCAGCTGTATGAGAAACACTTCCGAAAAATAAAAGCTGATCCTCCTCTGTCATGTCAAAGTTTCGATCAAAATCAGTTTTTGGCGTTCAAGTCTCCACATACAGCCCGATTCCTACTCCATTTTTGCGATATGAATGCCTTCGCTGGCCAGTTGTCTACGCAAGGGAGTATTCTATGGCCCACCCGAGAGGGATTGCATTGATTATTTTGTACATTTTTGGTGAGAAAATATCCAAAATCGACATAGTTCCAAATGCATGCATCTACAGTAAGTAGAAGTAAGTAGCTAACACCACATAAAGATACATTGAGCTGCAACCCTGGAATGCTGAGGCAATGAGATGGTGGACCCGGTAGGTGTCTAGGCACATTCTTGCTAGAGCGTTGCATGATTTACCCCTCCCCCACATACATACACACACAAACCACTAATACCAAAAACATATAGGCTCAGATCAGGGCTCAGACAATCGACCGACCTGCTCGATCAACAACCTCCGTCAAGTGACTACCTATCGGGCTCCAGTCCCGTTCATAAGAACGTTACTGCTGCTGGTCAACGTCCATCGCCAGTCCCCTGTCCACGCGTCCGGGTCCGACTTTGCAGGTTATTGGTTATGTGCCTCCTGCCCCCCCCCCCACACACACACACACATAATACGCTAAGATCCGCCCCTGAGATAACGTGTTGACCGGTACTTGCCACACGGTGCATGACGCTTAAACTCGTCCTTGTGCATCTGTATTCGATTGTGGGCAAGTGTGCCCTGAATTAATCGGTTTGTTTTCTGTCTCATAATAGTGAACAGTAACACCCACTGATGTTTCGGATAATTGGCAATATGAGATATTTATTCAACAAACTCCTGACGCACACGACATAGGTCAGGAGCAGCATTTGCGAGCTAAGCAATTGCATCACCACCTCGGCACTGACTCATCCAATAAAGTCAGATATACCACTGGTCGCCAATTGTCAACATCTCTCAAACGATGGTACTCTTTGTCCCTATATATGAGGTGGCTACAGATACAGGGCCGTGCCTCTGCTTCTCGGTGGTAACTGAATCAGCTGTCACGTCACGAGCTTTACGGCCTATTCCTTCGCGGCCGGCTCCTTGGATGAGATAGGAGCCCACCACCCGTGGCTCGATTCGGTTTTTATTTTCAGATTCTCTCAGATGTGTGTTTAGAAATGATTCGGTGATCAGTCAGGTAGGTACCGCTTTCAAACAAATTGGAAAGCTCAACCAAACCGAAATCCACACTCGTCGGCTCATTATCGCTCTTATTGGGCCTTACAAATTCTGCGCTGGTATACTCTGTTCCGTTTCAAGCTTGCAGCCGAAGTGCCCTGTTGAAAGCAGTGCATGATTTCTGTATATATAGCTCTCAGTATAGCTCTCATTTTACGTAAATTCTTGAGCGGAGGAGCGATCTGCCGAAGAAACTCCGACTGCAAACTTGATATGGAACAGTAGTAATGCTGGAAACGTACTTACACCTGTGAGTCCGATGTGTCAGAGAGCACGCTAAAACTCACAAAGGCACATGAACTCAGTGTTGTAGCAACTACAGGCTGCGCAGAACGTTTTTGATGCTGTTGACTTAGCTGAATTTGTGCGTCGGTCACGAATGCCTCAGATGTACTTTCCTTCTCTCAGTACGATCAGTGGCTTGGCGCCTATCCCGTCCACACAACGATAGAGCACCGGGTCGTGAACGTAAAGGGATAGCCGGATAGCTGGCTCGGTCGCCGCGAGAGGATTAGACACGGCGGTATCTGAAGTCGCCTCATACGTCGAGGATGTGTTCCAAACTTGGAAAGAAGCTGACGATCGGCGACTAATGGTGTATTGGGCTCTCAAGTCTCAGTGATGCTTCACTATTTTTGGCTCACAAATGCTGTTTCTAAGATGTGTCGTGTGCATGAGATTGGAAGCGTCAAATGATTATGTGGGACTAGGACAGCAACTAGGTGCATTAATGAAATCAGGTCACATCATACTACAATCGGATATCGAAAACGAGTGCGAATAGGGGAGAGCGGGGCCAGTTGAAACACGGGGTCAGATGAAACATGGCTTTATTTTCAACAGTATGCAACATATGGCGTTGCCGACACCACTGCGCATCCGCGCTCGACCACTTCCTTTGTCAACGGCGTTTGGGCGGCAAACGGACGGTAATTTTGATTTGACACTTGTTTTTGTGTTTTTGAGGGGCGTTTGGGAGAAATCGTTTTTGTGCTGTTTAACCCGCGCCCGGCTGGGGGTCCTGGATTTCCACGCCCTGCTGGGGGGGGGGGGGGGGGTGTTTGAACACCCCCCCTTGTAACTCGGCTCCTGGGCCACGTAGCGATACGCGGAAGGCGGCGTTCGAAAGAGCGTAAAAAATAATGACGAAATCACTTCGGTCAATTTTTTGGTCACGTCAAAGGTCAGGTCACCAGAGGTCATTGAAGGCAAAATTTCGCCGATTTCCAGGTCGAATGTCGAAAATTTCCAAGAAGCCAACGCATAACTCGGGAACCAATAGAGCTACAGCGCCGCGGAAAAGCGCATTCGATAGCCCTATTAACGACCTTTCTGAGTAATTCTCTCAGATTTGACCTAGCGTCAACGGTTTTGCCTGCAGGGGGCAAAAACTGCAAAAATAGCCGATTTTTTCGGAAACAGTTTTTCTGCAATAACTTTTGACCCAAGCCTTGTACGAGCTTACTTTTACCGGCATCGTGTTCCTCTCGTCAAGACGCATCGAATGAACTATAACTTGACCTTGAAAGGTCAACTTGAAAATTTGAC